GACCCCACGTAGAAATGTGGTGTGTTCTTTCTGTCTCGCCTTCATGACTTAGCGCCGCCGTTTTTCGGGTTGGGCAAATGTTGCTTGTGTTTCCTAAAGTGGGCCATGTAGTGTGGCTGTGAGGTGGTGTTGCTACACGCACTGCTGTGTCTTGTGTCCGTATCTCGTGACCGCTTCATTGAAAATTGTCGGTGGCGCTGTCGGTTTTCGTGAGGGCCTACCTCACCGGGACATTGTCCAAAACAATTTCTCTGGTTGCACTTTTTTTCGTCCGGTCATATAATTCATAACCACCGAAGCTGGTGACAACAGCGCCGCTGACTTTCCGTTCTCTGTGGCCCAATGCCTAGCGACAGACAAACATGGATTTTCTCGTGGATTATGCGACGACGCCTGCGTGACACACACACCTTTTTTCTTCGCGTGGTGCATTTACCATTAAAAAACACATGTGCACACCATCGCAGCGGCGACAGCAGCGGCGGCGGCAGCAGCAGCAGCAGCGGCAGGCGGTGGCGGTCAGGCAAGCGCGGCGGCAGCCGCGGCCACGGTTCGGGTGACCGCTAAGGTCTCCTACCTGCGCCTCCTCACCGCCCTCGTCACGGGCGCCCCTACTCCGAGCGACGCGACCGTCCGAGCGCGCCTCCTCCTCGCGGCGCTCGTGAAGGCCATCACCAAGGGGGCGGCCGTCGTGGTCGGCGGCGGCGTGAGAGCCCGCTCCGCGGCGTCGGACTCGACGATCCTCTGCATGCAGACGCTGAGGTTCCTCGTGGGCTGGGGCGAGCCGTCGGATGGCACCGGCGGAAAGAGTGTACACCGCGTGGAGCAGCCGCTGTTCGCCGCGTCTGCGATGACCGCTGCTGGCGGTTTCGAGGCGGGGGCTGGCGAGGCCCCCATTTGTCTGCACGGGCTTAGGGCGCGACCGAGCTCCGACGATAGCGGGGCGGCGGCGGCGGTGGCGGCGGCGGCGGCGGCAGGGGGGGCTGGCGGCAACCCGACGGGTCCTTCCACCGTGTGCTTCGTATGCCCCCTGGAGGACAGGGCACGTCGTTGCGAGTTTGTTCAGGTTACCCGCCAGGTGGGAGAAAGAGAAGAAGCGATGTTTGACTCCAGCGCACAGTTTTGCTACCCTCGACTGCTGTTTTTCGGGGTAACGCCGTCAACTCCGTAGTACTCCGAAGTAGATTGGTACCACATTTGAGCACAGCATTTGCATGGACGTGGGGGGGTACGCTTTTGTCTTGTTTCACGACGAGGCTTTGGTGTTGTTGTGGTGGTGACATCGGTGTTGTTGTGGTGGCATCGGTGTTGTTGTGGTGGTGGCGCTCTTTGTATTAGCGTGGGTCCGGGAGGGCGTATGAAGGTAAGGGGTTCTTAGCTCAGGCTCGACTCGCGCCCTGCGGCCTCGCAGCGGACGCCGATCGCCTGACGAGCAGCCCGCGCCGTCGAAACCTCTCAAAACGACGCGTTCGCACTTGCATCTTCCCCTCTGACCGCTTCTGTGATTTGGCCGACACACGTTTTTCTTCTTGTACGAATGGTTCTTTCTTTTTCTTTCCGTGTTTTTGATAACTTCGAAGTGATGTTTGTGATCGTGGAACGTGTAATCTACCAGGTATCTAGCTAAACCTTGCAGACCGTACACATCCTCATGTGCCTATTTACCTTTTGTACACTTGAGCGATGGTGCACAAGCATTAAGTCGTAGTGTGCGTTGTGGGCCGTGAAGTGTTACGACTGTTGTAACGCTGTAGTCCCGCCACCACCCGAACGTGCGGGCAAGCGGGCAAACATCTCTTCCGAAAATGAGAAGACAGCAACTTACGGCATTCTCACGAAAAAAACTGGCTCTCGGAACATATCTCTGTCATGGTGCTGCTGGATCTCTCTGGGGAGGACGGCGGTGGTGCGTGTGTGTGTTCGAAACATACTACTACTGCTGTTGCTGTAGTCTCCCGGCTATTGCCATGGTACAAGCCATACTTGCACAGACAAGTTCACACATATATATGTGTGCGCCCAGCTTCAACGCTATGTTCAAACTACAGCAGTGTGTAAGAAGCATGACGATGCACGCTTCTCCCGACTTGAAAGCTGCATCTATCGTTCTTTTTCTGCTGTTCTCCACCTCGTCAACGAACCACCGTCCCACTTGGTACTGCGTTTGAAGCCTGCAACTGCTACCTCACATCTCGTACGCCATCCGCTCTCGAAACAAAAGACGAGGGGAGGAGCAGCCCCCCGCGTCCGCCCCCCTTGTAATGTAAAGTTCCCCACAATAAAGTAAAGTATCCCTGATAGAAATCGGACGTGGATAGGTTGTCGTGGGACGGACGTGTGCTTCCGTGTTGACGGAAGGCCAACGATATTGGAATCTCAAGGTGTCCACTACTGTAGTGCCCCATTGCTTTTCATATCGTATTTCTACTTTTTTTAACGACAACAACAGTTGAGAGCTAGCGCACACTTAGCCCACACATTCAAGCAAGTCCCCCCGAATCCGATTTTTGGCGATCAATGTTTTAGGCGGCCACGGCCGGAGCTGCAGACGACGCGGCAGCCTCTACCACCAACGCCGGAACCGCAGGCGGACGGTCGGTGGTTTCCGGGCGGCATCACAAGACGGGGAGCAAGAACCCAAGGACACCCCCGGCGGCGGCGGCGGCGCCCCTCCAGCGCGCGCCGGACGCCGCCCTTCGCCAGGCGGTGGGCCGAGCGTGCGAGGAGCTTCTGGCCAACGCCTTCTCGTCGTCCTTCATTCCGATCGTCACCGCCGTCCCGCCGGCTTCGGAAGCCGATCACACGGGACCACCGTCGTCTGCCCCTCCTCCTCCCGGCGACGGCGGGGGGGGGCACGCAACGGGGACTGGCGGGGGTGTCCCGGGCAGCGGGGGCACTGATGCCATGGATGTTGACCGTGAGGAGACGCAAGGATCCGCGCGACCGTCGGCCGCAGTTCCTGCGGGTGACAGCGGCGGCGGCGGCGACAACGTGCAGGCCGTTCTTTGCAGCCTCCTCAAGGCCGCCCTCGTTGTCGCCGGCTCCCCGTCGGCGACGGCGGCGGCTGCGTCCGCTGCGAGCGGCGCGAC